CAAGAAGGAGGTGGCATTCCCTTTCCATGGAGAGCTTATTGTATTTGGACAGTCCATATCTCTTGTTTCATTTAATTCTGAACCTGTGGTAGGGTGTATCATTTCTATTTTCAGTTGGAGATGTTTAAGCTCAGAGAGGTGAGGCCACTTGCCCAAGGGCACACAGCAAGACTGGTGGAATTGGGAATCAAATCTGCATCTGTCTGGCTCTTAAAGCTACGTCCTTCTCACTGGCCTACATGACCTTGCAGTGTGCTTGGCTGCCTGGTGGGGAGAGGAAAACAGGACTGCACAGGTCAGCAGGGGCCAGCGCATGCCGGGCTCTGAGGTTTACACTGGTAGCTATGGGGAGCCGCCAAAGGTTCCTCAGCAGGGGAGGGGGAGTGTGTGTGGTTTGAGCTGGGCTCTCAGAGGATCACTTCGGAGGCTACAGAAGAGAATCAGGCTCTCCGGTGGGGAGTGGGGAGTGGATATGCAAAGAAACGATTAGAAGGTGGTGTTAGAACAGGATAACAGCAGGTGTGAGGGGCTTGGGGGGGGATGGCGAGCAGGTGGGCGGAAATGACTCAAGGTCCCATGGAATTAAGAAAGGCGTCTCTGAGGAGGTCCAAGTTGGACTGCATTTGTTAGAGCCGCGCAGTTCAGTAGGAAGAGCGTGGCCTCCGGAGGAGTCAGGCAGGCCTGGGTTCGAATGTCACTCAGCCTCTCTCGGGCATGCGACCTCGGAGCCGCTGTCCTCATTAGTAACATGGGAGAGCCCATCCTCATGAGGATGAGATGAGGCGAGGTAGGGTGCACGGTGACTGGCAAGTAGGGCTTGTGTAGTAAATGTTACCTTATTCAAAACAAAACAGAACAGTTAGGAGGTCGGCAGGGCTTGAGCAGGGAAGCGGGTTCCAGGCAGTAGGTCTGTCCCGCCCAGGGCGGGCTCCCAGGTGAAAAAGGCGATAGATTGCAGGACTGTGAGCATCCGAGCCCTGGGTCCTCCAAGCTCGTGCTGCTCCCTGGACAAGACACTTGGAAGTTCTGGGGGTGCCCACACCCCCTCCAGAACCTCGTCTTGTCCTGTTGGCTCAGCTGCCTCTTAGACTCCCCCAGTGGTGGGCCCTGAGCCAGATGGGGCCTGCACATGCTATATGCTGAATAAACGTGGTTTCAGTGGGTAACTACTCTGGTCTTACCTATGTTCCTCTCCTTCAGGCAGAACTGCCTTTCATCTGTGGGGGACATGAATTGCTGGCTTACCTTCTGAGGGAAGTGGGGTGGGAATGGAAGGGGGGGCGGTCAGTGTTGGCCCCGTGGCCTTGGGCTTGTCCCCACCCCCCATCTCTGGTCCAGCCCAGGAGGCCTGGAGAGGGACTCAAGAGCTGGGCCTGGGACACGTTCTGATTTTCAAATCGGATGGATTCTAGAAACCACTGACATCACCTCTGGTTCCGTCTTGGGGATGGCCAGCAAAGGGTTGGTGCACAGTTTGTAGAGGCCGTGGAGACCACGGGAAGAGGCGGGGGTCCGCGGCGAGCAGGTCAGACGGCTCTCATCACGTCCGGGTTTGCTGGCCCTCCTGGATGCCAGGCTGACGGCTGGGGGTTGCCACAGACACAGTGAGGGTCTAGACGCAGGCAGGAGCTAGATGAAAGGATTCTCAGCTGGATTTGTGATAGGTTGGGCAGCGTCTGCAGAATGTTTACTAGGACATGGGTGTCAGGATGGGGCCTGGTCTAGGTGGAGGACTGCTGGGCGGAGCTGATCCTCAAGATTTCCAAGGGACCATTTCCGGTGACCCCCATGGGGGGGGGAAGCTAGGAGCGGCGTGTTAGTTGGCGTTTATTGGTATGCCTCTGGACCGGATCCAGGGCCAGTGTTCAGTGTGCTCAGGGAGATGGCTTCCACGGCCTTCTTGCAAAGGGCCCACGAGCCCAGGGAGGTTCAGACGGTCAGAAGGTGGAATCCTCTGTGGCGACAGGGCGCACAGAGGAGGGGACAGCTGACTCTGCCTGAGGGGTGGAAGATGAGGAAGACTTCATAAATGAGAAGCCACGTGAGCTGGATTTTGAAAATCAGGTAGAAGTTCTTGAGGTGGAAAAGGTGGGAAACAAGCAGGTAGAGATTTGAGAAGAAATGGTGGTCCCATTTTGGACGGGCTGACTTTGAGGGCCCCTCATCAGGAGACCTGTTCAGAAGGCAGGAGGCTACACAGGAGCGAAGCCCAGCATGGGGGTGCTGTGGGTAATGCTTCGGGAGCAGCCATTCAGAGGGGCTGAATTAAACCTGGGGGTAGGGGGGACAGGGGGGCGGTGCAGTGGAAACCTGACAAAGCATAGCTGCCCGATGTGGGAAGACAGAGCAGTCAAGGAGACTGGAATGGAGGAGCCAGACAGGTAGGAGGAAACCAGGAGAGTCGGGGAGAGGAGCGCTTCAAGGCAGGAAGAGTCAACAGGACCCCGTGCTGCTGAGGGGTCAAGTGGGACGAAGCTGCAAGCGGCCATAGGATTTAGCAATAAGGAGGGCGCTGATGACTTTGTCAAGAACAGTTTCAGCAGAAAGATGTGGTCAGAAGCCAGACTGCAGTGGATTACCAGGCGAGGTGACATTTGAGCCAGGATGTGAGTGGCAGGTGAGAAACTAGATGCCAGCTGTGGAACACTTATTGATGGGAAGGAGGAGCCGGGGGGACAGTAGCCGGGGGAGGAAGGAGGGCTCCCCCCAGAATGGAGGTCCATTCTTGGGTGGCCATGGGAAGACCATGCTGACCAAATGCTGAGCCAGAGGGTAATGGGTGGAGCCCTCCTAGAAGGTCGGAGGGGGAGAAGCAGGGCCAGGGTGGGCAGGTGGGTGGGTGGGGGGCTGGCCTTTGTAAGAGGGACTGCAGGGAATTTGGGAGTTGGATGTCTGGGGCAAGAAGTCAGGGGCGAGGGTTGCGGGGCCTCCTATGTCACAGCGTTTGCTTTCTCTGTAAAGGAGCTCCTTGCAGAGAGCGAGGGAGCAGAGATGAGCTCAAGGAGAGAGGTCAAGGTCTGGCACAGAGAAGGTGGGGAATGGGGAAGGCGGGGAGCCAGGGAGTGCTGCTGAGAAGCCCCAGGCGCCCAGCGGATATGCAGCCCTGAATCTGTCCTGGTGCCAGTTGGCACAGCTGTGGATTTCTTCAGCAGCCTGGGGGTGGGCGTGGAGAAGGCGGCTTGTCACAAGGCTCCAGGGCTGGGGACTGGCTGAGCGGGTGTGGTGGAAGGGCTGGGTGAAGGGATTCAGGAATGGGCAAGCTTGGCATGAGCACCTTTTCTGTGGTCCTGCTGGAGGCAGGGCCCAAAGTGAGGCCGGGAGGGGTTGCAGATGCCATTTGAAGGGAGGAGGCCCCGGGGAGGGGGCTGAAGGGTGGCAAGTGAGGGTGCAGAAGAGGTGCAGGTTGTGAGGGGAGGGGGAGGTGGTAAAAATAAGCCAGATGGGTCCTGCCTTCTGGAGCATTCACCACATGCCAAGCAGGGTGCCAAGGGCTTCATGGCCCCCCTCTCAGGGAGTCCTCAAGTCAGCCCTCAAGGGAGGGGGTATTCCGAGTACTGTTCTACAGAGGGGAAAACAGAGAGGCAAACACTTGCCCAAGGTCACACAGCTGATCACTGTCCGTGACCCAGTTGGGACATGGGGCACGACTCCAGTTGTCCTGAGCTGGTGGAGAAGTTTTGGGGAGGATGTAGATTGAGTTCTGCGACTAGTGGCTGAAATGGAGGGAGGGGCCCTGGAGTTCATGAGACCAGAAGCTGGGCTGAGTGGCACTTCAGGGCCCCCTGCCCAGCAGGTTTGCTCAAGGTGGCCCTCTTGGCGCCTGGTTGGATAGAGCTTTCTCTCGGACGCAGAGCCCGGACTGGGCCGCAGGGGGCAGAAAGACCATAGCCCTCTTGGGTTCCTTCAAACACCGTGCCTGCTTGGTGCTGACCTGGCTTTCAGATATAGAAGAGGTCCTGGGGCTGGGGGCCATCAGTACCTTCTAGTCCGGGGACAGCATGGGCTGAGTCCTGTCCCCAGTGCTGTTCCCACCTGCCCAGCAGCCCCTACATGGGCTGGGTCTTGCCCCTCTGTGCTCATGTCAGCCCCCATCCGTGCTCCCTAGCCCGTGGGAGAGGGCCTGGATGAGCTCATGTCTGAGCAGGAGGGGCCAGCTTTGGAGAAGGGGAGCTCCCAGCCCCTCCTCCAGCACTGGTGGTGCTTCCAAGGCCTAGACCAGACACATAAATCAGGGTGGTCAGCTGAGAGCCTGCTGAGGCTGAGGCTGAGGCAGCAGCGGCCTCTGGGAACACCTGCTGCTCTCCCAGCCACAGGAGCAGTGGGGAGGAGGGTCTGCGAGGTTGTAGGCACCTGCCCGAGGCCCTGGGGTCTCAGAGGAGTAGCATTCTGACCTGGGCCTCTAGGTCACAGTCCAGTGATGCATGGGGAGCAGAACCCGGGCCTGACACTCAGCCCCTGGCTTGGCATGAATCACGTCCCAGAGGCAGGCGTGGGGGGTGGTCTGTTTGTCAGCCTGAGGAGTCAGTCCCGTGAGGGGAAAGAGCCTGGGCCTCAGGCTTACCAGGCTGTGTGCTCTTGGACAAGTCACTTCCCCTCTCTGGTCCTCAGTGTCCTCATCTTTAAACAGAGACGGTGGTCCCTGCCTCCCAGAGGAGGATTGGAGGAGCTAGGTATGGGTAGCCCATGGCCCAGAAGCCTCCCGGAGCCCGTCGATGTGAGCGGCCACTCCTCTCCAGTCTTCCTCAGTCCAGCTGAGGCAAGAGGAGGAGAAGACGGTTGTAAGGCTGTGGGCGAGTCCTGTGTGGCCTTCTGAGCCTCAGTTTCCTTATCTGTGAAATGATGGTGGTGGGGGAGGGGCAAGGACTTGATGCTCACTCAGCATCGCCTGCAGTTGGTTCCAGACCCTCGGGCTGAGGGAGAGCAAGGCCGCCCTCTCTGCGCCACTGTGGCAGGACAGAGCTGGCCTTTGCTGAGCCCCCGCCACCACCTCCGTGTTCCAGGTGAGGAGCCGGAAGAGGAACCGAAGGTGAAAACCCAGTGGCCAAGGTCTGCAGATGAGCCTGGGCTATACATGGCGCAGACAGGTAACTCGGGCCCGCCTCCCTTCCTCTGCGGCGGGGGCCCGACGGTGTGGCGTCTGGTGGCATGTGTGCTTGGCGTGTGCCCGTCTGTGTCTGTGTCCTAGAGCTCAGTCACATCCCTGCCACGTGAGGCCTGTGGGCAGGGATGGGCGGCCTCCTTCAGAGCCTGTCACTTGGGGTCAGGGTAGGAGGATCCCTAGGAAGCTGAGTGCTTGGGAGGTGCCCCCTGCCGCCGACGCTGTCCCTCTCTCGTAGGCGACCCGGCGGCTGAGGAGTGGTCCCCGTGGAGCGTGTGTTCTCTGACGTGTGGGCAGGGTCTGCAGGTGCGGACCCGCTCCTGCGTGTCCTCCCCCTATGGGACCCTGTGCAGCGGGCCCCTGCGGGAGACCCGGCCCTGCAACAATTCAGCCACCTGCCCAGGTATGCCCATCCTCCCGCCTGCTCTGCCTGCAGGGGTAGGTCCTGCCTGGGACTTGGGCAGGTTCATCTTCCAAAGATGGTGGGTTGCCTCCTTTTTTTTATTCAGCAAACTTGACTGTCCCCCACACCATGCCCAGCCCCACACAGGGCGCTGGGGACACAGATGAATCAGACCAGGGCCCGCACCAGTGGGCTTGGTTCTGGGCCCAGCACTCCCTTGATGCCTGTGTCCCGGTAATCAAGGCTCATCTTTTTACCCCCATTGCCCTCTGTGTTCCCTACACTCTGGCCATACCAGCGCCTCTTGCACTCTCCCATCCCCCAGCATTGGCTTATTCTCATCCTATCCCCACCTTGGCTATTACAATTCAGCCTGCCCTTCAAGATCTAAGACAAATGCCACTTCTTCCTCCTCTTCTTCTTTTTTTTAAATGAAACCTTGCCTGACCATCCCCTCCCTGCTCTGATGCCCCATCCCAGTCCCCAGGGAGCCTCCTCAGTCCAGCATGGAGTACTGAGAATGTGCATGTGCCTGCCTGGGACAGGTGGTCCGCCACGGGGAGGTGGGGGGCCGCTTCAGCCAGTCCTATTCCTTGTTCCCTGAGGGAGTGCAGCGGTGCCTAGACCATGACCAGCTCCTGGCCGTGGACTTAGAGTAGGGCTACCTGGGAAGGGGTCTTGGCACCTGGGGGTGTGGCAAGAGCTTGCAGAAGGCTGGGGCAAAGCTGTGTTCCGGAGTGTGAGCTCTCTGTGTCAGTGTCTGTGTAGAGGTTCATGTCTCTTTGTGTGTCCATGCGCTTGGGGTTGGGACGGGCACTACTCTTGCCTCAGGCCTGTCATGTTGGATTCTTGCTTTGTGTCTGGGGATCGGGAGGGCTGGGATGGGATAGATAGGCTGGGGCAGATCTTGAGCCCTTTCCTGGGCTTTCCTGTGCCCCCAGGAGAGGAGGAGCCCCGGCTCCCCTCCTGGGTCGGTCCTAGTCTCCCTGTCCTGGTGTCCACAGGAGGTATCCTGTGTGAGTTGGGACCGGAAGCCTGTGTCTTCCATTTTCCCCCCAAAGGGCGGAGTCCTGGGGCCCAGTGCAGAGCCAATGAGGAGCTGTCGCAGAGCTGCCGGAGCTCCTGATTGGTGGGCGGATGGGCAGTGGGCGGGGCCAAGGTGCCGCCCAGCCACCGGCCACGTGCTTCCTTGCAGTGCACGGCGTGTGGGAGGAGTGGGGGTCCTGGAGCCTGTGCTCCCGCAGCTGCGGGCGGGGGTCCCGGAGCCGGATGCGGACCTGCGTGCCCCCCCAGCACGGCGGCAAGGCCTGCGAGGGTCCCGAGCTGCAGACTAAGCTCTGCAGTATGGCCGCCTGCCCGGGTCAGTAGCGCCCGTGGGCTTCCAGGCGGGCGCTGCCCAGCCGGGTGGGGGTCGGGAGACCCAGGGGAGGCAGTCAGGTCCAGTGCCCTGCCCTTGGGGGCCCATGAACTTGAACCAAGCATGGGGAGAATGGCAAAGCGTACCTGCCAGCGTGGGAGGTGATGTGGCCAGGCCCAGACTTGGAGTTGGCACACTGTAACCCCAACAAAAGAAGGCTGCCCCTTCCCCTAAGCCCCGAGATACCCTCGCTGTTCATTGCCCTTTGGTGCTCATGGCCAGCCTGGCTGTGAGGGGACACAAATCTGGACTTAAGAGTGGGCAGAGATCCAGAGGTGTCCCTGGGGCCCATTTCCCTTACCAAGAGAGAGCAAGTGCCGCCTCGGTGCTGAGTGGAGAGGTATCCTGCGTTCCTGGAGCTGGTGACAGGCAGGCAGGACCAGGCCCAGGCACCACCTGCTCACTGCAGCCCCCCTTCATCCACCCCTCTCCCGTGGGTCTGGCCCCGTTCAAGTCTGAATGCCTAACAGGCTCTGCCAACTTCCTGCCCCCACTGGTCCCCACAGCCCTTGCTCAACGGCCACCCCTGCTTGTGTCTCCCCATGCAGTGGAAGGCCAGTGGCTAGAATGGGGTCCCTGGGGCCCGTGCTCCACATCCTGTGCCAACGGGACCCAGCAGCGCAGCCGGAAGTGCAGCGTGGCGGGCCCAGCCTGGGCCACGTGTACAGGGGCCCTCACGGACACCCGCGAGTGCAGCAACCTCGAGTGCCCGGGTGAGTACTCCGTGCCGGGGGGGCAGGTGGCAGCCTGGCCCCCAGGGAGCAGCGGGGGCCACTCACACCCTCCTTGTGCAGCCGCAGATGGCAAGTGGGGGCCGTGGAACGCGTGGAGCCTGTGCTCCAAGACGTGCGACACGGGCTGGCAGCGCCGCTTCCGCATGTGCCAGGCCACGGGCGCGCAGGGCTACCCCTGCGAGGGCACCGGAGAGGAGGTGAAGCCTTGCAGCGAGAAGAGGTGTCCAGGTATCGGCCACAGGACGCTAGGGGGTGGAGGGACAAGCCTGTGGGCCTAGCTGAGCCCCTCCACTGTCCCCACAGCCTTCCACGAGATGTGCAGGGACGAGTATGTGATGCTGATGACGTGGAAGAAGGCGGCTGCTGGCGAGATCATCTACAACAAGTGCCCCCCCAATGCCTCAGGTGAGCGGTGGGGTGACTCCCCGAAGCCCCCACCTCCGCCTTTCCTGCTCACTCCCTTCTGCCCCCACCCCCCGCCTGTTTGAGCCTCCGTGCTCAGGCGTGGAGTGAAGTGAGTAGGAGTCCAGCCCCCACACCCAACCCTGTGTCCCGTCTTGTCCCCCCTGCAGGGTCTGCCAGCCGCCGCTGTCTCCTCAGTGCCCAGGGCGTGGCATACTGGGGTCTGCCCAGCTTCGCCCGCTGCATCTCCCACGAGTACCGCTACCTGTACCTGTCAGTGAGTGTGCCCCGCTGGGCTGGGGTGGCACAGGGTCTGTCCCAGGCTCGGGCAGGGGGTGGAGGGAGCTTGCTTCCTGCTCTTGCCCATGTGCCTTGGCATACATATGCTGTGCCCACCTCTGCCTGCCTGTGTCTCTCCTTGCCCAGCACACTCCTACTCATACCTCAGGGCCTGACTCCCAGGTGTCCTCCCTTGTTCCTGGCGCCTCCTTCTGTCGCTCCTCTGGTCCCCCGAGCCTCCCAGTCATGAGGTGTCATGAATGCTCATCGAAATGTCTGTGTCCTGTTAGACTGGGAGCTCCTTAAAGGCAGGGGCGAAGTTGGATTTATTTTTGTGTCCGCAGTGCTCAGCCCAGGGCCTGCTGGGGGAGCTAAGAGGGTTGGCAGTGAATGTGGCCTGTGTGTCGTGCGTGTCTGACTGTTATTTGGTACTTGTGTGTTTGCACTCAGAGCTCGTGTTTGAAAGAGGGAGTGATAGTGAGGGCGCGTTACACTTCGGAGCATGCATGACCACTCAGGGTTGGAGAGGTGCCTTGTCCCTGTGCCATGCTTGTCATCTTTTATGTACACATCTGAGCGCCTCCCTTCTCTAGCTGTTTCTATTTTGGTCTTTTTCAAGTATCTTTAGGTCTTTTTCTTGGACCCTGTCTCCTATGAGCCCCTTTGAGCAGCTCTCGCTGACCTTTTCCCCCTCTTGGATGCAAGCAGTGGGTGGACTGGAGTGGGATGGGCCCGAGGCCGGTCCCAGCTCCTGACCCCGTGGTGACAGCAGCCCACCTGTCGCCTGCAGCTTCGGGAGCACCTGGCCAAAGGGCAGCGCATGCTGGCAGGGGAGGGCATGTCCCAAGTGGTGCGCAGCCTACAGGAGCTGCTGGCCCGGCGCACTTACTATAGCGGGGACCTGCTCTTCTCCGTGGACATTCTAAGGAATGTCACTGACACCTTCAAGAGGGCCACCTATGTGCCCTCCGCTGACGACGTGCAGGTACCGCCCTGCCCCACCAGAAGGAAGGAGGGCACCCTGGACTGCAGTGGGAGGTTGGGCCCCCGTGGCAGAGTCTATGGGGGTGACGTGTGTGATTCTATGGAGGGGGAAGCCACCATCCCTGGGGCTGGGACCTCCTGACACCCACGGCTCTTGCCCCCAGCGCTTCTTCCAGGTGGTAAGCTTCATGGTGGATGCAGAGAACAAGGAAAAGTGGGATGATGCTCAGCAGGTGAGGGGCTGGGCTTCCAGGCCTTCTCCCCCAGGACCCACCCCTGCCTCGGACCCTTATATACTCTCTGTCTCCAGGTATCCCCTGGCTCTGTGCACCTGCTGCGTGTCGTGGAGGACTTCATTCACCTGGTGGGCGATGCCCTCAAGGCCTTCCAGAGCTCTCTGATTGTCACAGACAACCTGGGTACCAGGAGGCAGGCTAGGGAGCGGGGGCTGGATAGGGTAGAACCCAGGCCGCTGTGGGGGAGGGATGGTTTATGAGGGCTCTTCCTATTTTTCTGTCTCTCTGGGTCCTCTCTTTCCCTCATTTAACCCCTTCTTTGTATCTCTGTCCCTGTCTCTTCCCCTCCCCACCCCATCCCCCGGGGTTGTTTCTCTGTGTGCGTGTCTCCCACCCGTGTGTTTGTACCAACCTCGGTGTCTGCGTCTGCCTTCCTGGTGTCTGTCTCTCCCATTTCTGTTTCTTCCCCTGTGACTCTCCCGGCCGCCTCTGTCCCTCTGTCTCTGGTGCGGGTCGCAGTGATCAGCATTCAGCGCGAACCGGTCTCGGCCGTGTCCAGTGACATCACGTTCCCCATGCGCGGCCGCAGGGGCATGAAGGACTGGGTGCGGCACTCGGAGGACCGCCTCTTCCTACCCAAGGAGGTGCTCAGCCTCTCCTCCCCGGGGAAGCCAGCTGCCTCCGGCCCAGTGGGCAGCCCTGGCAGGGGGAGGGGCCCAGGAACCGTGCCCCCTGGCCCCGGCCACTCCCACCAGCGCCTCCTGCCGGCAGACCCCGAGGAGTCATCCTCCTACTTTGTGATCGGTGCTGTGCTCTACCGCACGCTGGGCCTCATCCTGCCGCCCCCCAGGTGAGTCCCCGGGAAGGGTGGATGGGGCCGCCTGGGTGAGAGGAAGAGGACTGAGCCTGTGCTGGCCGCGGGGAGCTCCCTCTGCAGCCTCTTGGACCTCGGGCCCTGTTGCCTGGCTAGGGACACAGGGGCTTCTCAAAGATGTCTGTGCAGCTCCCAGAGGCTTCCCGGGGACCGGGGCTGTTGGACTGAGCTCTAGACCTCACCTGAAGTCCCGGGCCCCACTGACCTCTGGGCTTTTCCCGGGCTGTGGCTCCCTGGTAGCCCCCTGCCCCTGATCCAGAGCGCCTTTGGGGTTCCTGGGCTCTGGGCACCACTGGCAGGAGCTGACCTCAGCACCTGTCCCCCAGACCCCCGCTGGCCGTCACATCCAGGGTGATGACAGTGACTGTGCGGCCCCCCACCCAGCCACCAGCTGAGCCCCTTATCACAGTGGAGCTCTCCTACATCATCAACGTGAGTGGGGACCCAGACAGTAACCCTGGGGTACCCCATTGTGGGCAGCCAAAGGCCTGTCCAATAGCTGGCTGCGCCTCCGGCCTGTGCAGAACCTGCCGCGGCAGGAGGGGTGGTGGTCCGGGGTGGCGAGCTCCCTGCCCCACGCTGTGCTCGTCGCTTCTGCTCCCCAGGGCACCACCGATCCCCACTGCGCCAGCTGGGACTACTCCAGAGCGTGAGTTGGGCTGGGGCTGTGTGTGGGGGGTGCAGTGCTAGCACTCTGTCAGGGGGCTATCTCACCTGGAAGGCGAGGGGGTTCCTTGGGGCTGTCCTCGGCCTGAGGGGTCCAGGGCACATCTGGGGGCTCCCAGCCACCGGGCCTCTTGGGTGTGGCCTCACCCTGGATTTCCTCTGGCACCAGGGGGTGGGGGGCCACGGAGTTGGGCTCGGTATCACTCCACTTCTCCCCTGACTCCAGAGATGCCAGCTCAGGGGACTGGGACACCGAGAGCTGCCAGACGCTGGAGACACAGGCGACGCACACTCGCTGTCAGTGCCAGCACCTGTCCACCTTTGCCGTGCTGGCCCAGCCGCCCAAGGACCTGGTGAGCGGGAGGGAGGTGCCTGGGCTGGGCGGGCGGGGGGCGGCGTGTGTGCTCCCTCCGGGGTTGCCAGGAGCCATCCGTGGTGGTGTCGGCGGGGACCTGGTGATCCCGCACGTGCGTCTGAGCGGGTGCACTCAGGGGGCTGCACACACAAGTCCGTGCCCCCGGGAGGGTGCTCACAGGGATGACGTGTGCCTGGAGACGTGTGGCGGGGGGGTGATTGCATGCGTGTACACACACGTGCGTGTCTGGTTGTGTGTAGTAAAGTGCGGGTGACCGAGCATAAACGCACGTGCACATGTGTGACTGTGTCTGCCCCATGCACACGTGGATGTGATGAGTTTCCCCCTGTGTGTGAGTGTGGGGAAAGGTGTAGGTGCCAGTCGGTGCCAGACAGGGAGTGGGGAGAGGGAGGGCACCCCTGCAGCTGCCGGGCCTGTGACCCGGTGGACCACCTGCTCATCCTCCCTAGACCCTGGAGCTGGCAGGCTCCCCCTCGGTCCCCCTCGTGATCGGCTGTGCCGTGTCCTGCATGGCGCTGCTCACTCTCCTCGCCATCTATGCCGCGTTCTGGAGGTAGGTGGGGCGCTGGGCAGGGTGAGGCAGGGGGTGGCCAGCCAGCCCCGCTTGGGCAGGGCGGCTAGCTCCTCTACCCGCCGTGCCCTCTCAGGTTCATAAAGTCCGAGCGCTCCATCATCTTGTTGAACTTCTGCCTGTCCATCCTGGCGTCCAACGTCCTGATCCTCGTGGGCCAGTCACGGGTGCTGAGCAAGGCAGGTGCAGGTCACGGGCACCAGGGTGAGAGAGGCGTGAAAGGGCTGAGGGCGGAGAGCGTTTGCCGGGGCCGGCGCGCGTGTCTGCACGTCCGTGCCCACGTGGCGGCTGTTTGTATACACCCGAGCCCCGGGTTGGGGGAGGGCACGAGGGGGAAGGAGGGGTGTGCGTGTCCCCGAGTGGTGAGTGTGTGTGTGCCTCTGGGAACACGTATGTGAGCTGAGCTCGCGTGCGCATGCGTCGGGCGTTTGTGGAGCCCGGGCCTCCTTGTGTCTGCGGGAGCCGGAGCGGGGCCTCTCGTGCCGCCTGCCCGCGGATGCCCTCGGCCGGCCGTGCCCTCTGCCCCCTCGGCCGGCTCTACGGTGCCAGCACTATGAAGTGCCAGGGGTGGGGCCCGCCTGGCCGTGACTCGGCAGCCACTCCCATCTGTGCCCCTCCCTGCCAGCCCCGTCTGTGTGTGGGTGGCCTGCCCGCCCGCCTCCCGGATGTCGGGTGCTTTGTGCGTGTCACCGGGCCCGTGTCGTGCTGTGTGTGGGTACAGAAAGGCGGGGGTGCCTGACAGGGCTCTGTGGGGGGGGCGGTGCTCGGGGGGGGGGGCGGCCGTGGCAGCGCCCAGCGGTGGGTGTGGGAAGCCTGGCGCCTCCCACCCTGGTGGCTGCTCGGGGCCACTCCCTCCCTGCCGTCTCCCTGCAGGGTGTATGCACCATGACTGCCGCCTTCTTGCACTTCTTCTTCCTCTCCTCCTTTTGCTGGGTGCTCACGGAGGCCTGGCAGTCCTACCTGGCTGTCATCGGACGGATGCGTACCCGCCTCGTTCGCAAGCGCTTCCTCTGCCTGGGCTGGGGTGAGCAGGGCCCGTGCTGGACTCTGTCGCTGGGCCTTGGGGGCAGGAGCCGCAGGACAGGGTCAGCTTTGGCCCCGGCCCCCGCTCTCTGGACCCAGAGTCAGCTGTGCTGGGGCTGGGAGGATGAGAGGACTCTGGGAACCCACAGCCATCTCACTGTGGCCCCCCCGCTGCTCCTGCAGGTCTGCCGGCCCTGGTGGTGGCTGTGTCTGTCGGCTTTACCCGCACCAAAGGATACGGTACATCCAGCTAGTACGTGGGCCTCCCGTGGCGGGCAGCAGGGGGATTAGTGGACCTGTTTGGGCATCCCACTGGGCATGGGGTCTACTCAGGCTGCAGTCCTGGCCCGTGCCTGCCATGCTTTGGGCAAAATCTTCCCTGTCTCTGAGTCTCTGTTTCCCTGTTTCCCTGACTGTAAAGGGATGTGCTGGGATTGGGGATAATCTTTAAGAGCCATTTAGCTCAGGGATCAGCCTTGTTCGACACCCATGGTGGGCTCAGGGCTGGGTCTTTGTTAGAGGGGAAACTGAGGCTCAGCAGGAGCCCCAGGCTCACTGTCACCCAGCTGGAGGCTCTGCCCCATCGACAGCCCAGGGGGCACTGAGCGGTGGTGTGTCTGATGCCCCCTCTTTTCCCTCCACCCCAGCTGCTGGCTCTCCCTGGAGGGCGGCCTGCTCTATGCCTTTGTGGGCCCTGCAGCTGTCATTGTCCTGGTATGTGCCCCTTTAGCATCCTGGGAAGGGTGTGGCCGTAGGGGCTCCACCTTCTCCCTGCACTCCAGCTCCCACTTGGGGGTTTCCCTGCCAGGAGGGCACCTGGTGATCCTGTCTCTCCCCCCCCCCCCCCGCACTGGGCCCCCAGGTGAATATGCTCATCGGGATCATCGTCTTCAACAAGCTCATGGCACGTGATGGCATCTCGGACAAGTCCAAGAAGCAGAGGGCCGGGTAAGGGGGCTGTGACTTGGCCTTGTGGGAAATAGTGCAGGGAGGGAGGGCCGGGCCTCTTGGAGACTCAGGGCTTGCCGATGCGACCAGGGCTCCCTGACCTTGGTGCATCAAGGGTGCAGGCAAGGTGGGCACCTGGAGTGCTCCGCTGCAGCCCCTCGCCCACCCTAACCCACCTCTTTCTCTCTCGTCTGCCCTCCCCCTCCCACCCCACTTGGGGCTCATGCTGCCCCGTCTCCTCCCGCTTCCCATGTGTCTCCCCCTCCTTCTCCCATGTCTGTGCCGCCCCCGAGGTCGGAGCGGTGCCCCTGGGCCAGCCTGCTCCTCCCCTGCTCAGCGTGTGGAGCGGTCCCCAGCCCCCTGCTCAGCTCAGCCTCGGCCAGGAACGCCATGTTAGTTGTGCCCCCCGGGGGGGAGGGGGTGGGGGCGGGCGGGGGCAAAAGAATGGGGGGCAGTGCCCATGGTTGGGGGGAGGAGGGATATGAGCCCAGTGCCCTGGAAAGCTTGCCCTGCCCTGCCAACTTCCACACACTCTCAAGGGCTTGGCATTGATGTGGCAAAGGGCAACGGGGAGTGAATGTCTGTGCCTCTTGGAAAATGCTGGGTTCCTGTGCCCACCCCTTGCTCCCACCCCTGCCCCCATTCCCAGCTTATGTTTTATCCAGGCACAGCTGCAGAGCCCTCTTTACACCCCCCAACCTACAGAGGCTTTTAGAATCTTAGGCCCTTAGAATTTTTGAGCTCATAGAACCTTAGAAAGATAGAATCTTAGAATAAGACAATCAGAAGCTACGAATGTTAGAATGAGTGAATCATAGTCTTATCATTTGTCATAGAATCTGAGATTTAGAATTTTAGAGGCATTGAATCCCACAATTAATTGGGGGGGCAGAGAATCTCAGCGATTCACCAGCATACCCCCTGGAAGCTGAGGATCCTAAACTCAGAGGCACGGAAGAGCAGATTGAGTGAATGAATGAATCCACAGGGGCCTTGGGCCCAACCGCCCTCCCAGGGCCAGAAACCCATCAGAGCCTCCCTGACCAGTGGGGGTCCAGCTTTGTCTTGCACACCTCCGGGGTCAGGGAGGCTCACTGCTTCTGGAGGCAGCCGGCACCGTCTCTGGGAAGCTGTTTGTGGTAGGAAGCTCCCTCTCCCTCGGGCACCCGTCTGCCTCCCCGATTCAGTCTCTCAGAACTAGCAGTGAAAAGCCTGGGCTTTCGAGGCGACCAGGCTGGGTCTGCATCCCAGCTCTGTCTCTTTCTCCCAGTTGGGCACACTCCAGTTTCCTCATCTGTAAATTGGGATAATAATCCCCATGCCTGTTTACTGGAGTTGTTTTGATCACAGTGTGAACTAATGTATGTAAATTGTTCAGTGTAGGGCCTGGCAGAGGATTGGTGGTTAATCAATGGCAGCTCTTATGACTGTGATTAGGCCCTTTCTGAGTCTTGGCTGCGCCCCCAGGGGCTGTGGAGACCACGGTGCCCGCCCCCTGCCAGGCTGAATAGCCCCCAACTTCTCTTCCTAGGTCAGGTCTTGGCCCCCTGCCCATCTCTCTGCCTTGTCCGGAGCCGTTCCCACCCCTGCCTGACTCTCCTACTGGGGTGCTCACAAGGCAGAGTAGGCTGGGCGTGGCACCTGGCCCAGTAGGGCAAGCCTGCCCTGCTCTACCCACGTGGGCCCTGGCTGGGGAGGGCGGGCTGGCTCTGGGGCCTGGATGCCAGGGCCCATCTGCCTCTTCCCTCGGCCGTCCCTAGTCAAGGAGGTGGGGGATGCGTGGGTTTGGTCATGACCCCAGCTTTTCCGGCCAGCCCCAGCTATGCTCTTTCTGCCCAGGGCTCTGAGTGGGCCCCCCCCCGACCCCCGCCAGGAGCCTGGTACCACCTCCCTGGGGACCTGAGGGGGAAGAGGCTCTGCTGCACCGGGCCTGACCCCATTCCCAAAGATGTGTGCGCTCACGTCCTCCATGCTCTCTGACTGTTAGATCTGTGTGTCGGCCCGTCTCACGCTCTCTCCCCGTGTTTGCCATCTCTCCTTGTGCAGCCCCGTCCCGCCTCTCCTGGAATCTCTGGGGGTGCAGCCCAGGCCTGTGATTCCACGCAGATTGGGGCTGAAACTCACAGCATCTGCATCTGCCTCCCTCCCCGTCTTCTCTCCCATCGGCTCTTTCCACCTTCTCCGTCTTCGTCCCCTGACGCCGCCTCTGGCTCAGCCCCACCCTGTTGGTCCCTCCCACCTCTCCTGGTCCCTGCTCTGGCCCCACTGCCGTTCTCCGCTCTCTGTCTCTGTTCTCTGTCTCTCTGCCTTTGGCTCCTCGGCCTCTGTCTGCTTGGGGACATTGCTGAGGTCTTGGAGTGTGGAGCCCTGCCAGTCTTGGGCAGCTTAAGGGCCCCAGGCCTAGTGCAGGCCTGGATTCATCACCCCCCCCCAGTCCCCTGGGGTGTCACCCTGATGGACCCTCTGCTGCTGTCCTCAGGGCCTCGCTCTGGAGCTCCTGCGTTGTGTTGCCCCTGCTGGCGCTCACCTGGATGTCGGCCGTCCTGGCCATGACAGACCGGCGCTCCGTCCTCTTCCAGGCCCTCTTCGCGGTCTTCAACTCGGCGCAGGGCTTTGTCATCACTGCTGTGCACTGCTTCCTGCGCCGAGAGGTGGGGCTGGGCTTCTCCCGCCCCCTCCCATCCACCTCACCTGGCCGATGGGGAGGAGCCAGGCCCCAGCCGGCCCCCAGCTGGGTGCAGAAGCTGGTGGCCTGGGGCAGCCTTGGCCATGGCCTTCGGGCCTCCTAGGGCTCCTTCTCCCCTCTGACCTTCCCCTACACTGGACGCATTTCTTTCCTTCCACACCCACCTGGGTGCCTGGGGTGGGAGGCACAGCCGGCTGTGGCCAGGGGCCCTGTGGTGGCCTCAGGCCCAGCAGGCACCCGCTGCCCCCAGGTCCAGGACGTGGTGAAGTGCCAGATGGGCGTGTGCCGGGCCGATGAGAGTGAAGACTCCCCTGACTCCTGTAAGAACGGGCAGCTGCAGATCCTGGTGAGTGAGGAGGCCGAGGCAGGGTGTGGTTGGGTTCTGAGTGTGCGCCCCCCCACCCAGTCCTCCTGCCCCAGGCTCATTTTCCCATCCATGGAGGGGATGAGAGACAGGGAGGGGACAGAGCCCGGGTTTGATTCAGGCCCAGTCACTGACAGCTTGGTGGCATCGGGCAAGTCTTTTCCCCTTTCAGTTTTCCTACCTGTCGGGCGAGGCTGGACAAGACCCTGTCTGGGGCCCATCTAGGCTCCTTCGGGCAGTGTGCCAAGGGCAGCCCCTCTGGGTGGCTGGGGAGGGGCCTGAGCCCCCTCCCCCCACCCTGATACATGGATCCTCTCTGTGCCTATCTGCTCTGTCCCTCTCTGCCTATAGTCAGACTTTGAAAAGGATGTGGATCTGGCTTGTCAGACAGGTGAGTCTGCCTGAGAGCTGAGAATGTTCCCCAGGGATGGGCGAGTAGAGCCTCCAGCCCGATCATGGGAGGTCCTGTTAACGGTCTGGTTGTGGGGTTTAGCTGTGGAGTCAGAGAGCCCTAACTTGGAGTCAAAGTTGTGAACACCACTTCCTGTGTGACTTTGGGCAAACAGCTTACTTCTCTGAGCCTTAAATGAATTAGGGGACATCAAATGCCTGGCAGGGTGCTTGGCATAGAGTGGCTGTCACATTATTATATCATTTCCATACTTCTTACCAGAATCTCTTTCCAGTTCTGGCTCCTGGGGAGGAGCTGCTGGACGGGTGGGGGGAAGGGAGGAGCAAGGCCATTTTGACAGCCTTGGGGCTGTGGGGGTCAGAGGTCAGGACCTGCACCAGGAGCTGACCTGTGGGACCTGGGCCTTGGCTTCATCCCTTGCCCTGCCTTGCTATGGGCCTCTGGGCCAGTCTGACCCCTCTTCTTAGCCCATCTGGTGTGTGAGAGAGTGCCTCCCACTTAGCCATCTCTCCGGGACTCAGTTTCCTCTCCTTGGACTCAGTCCAAGCTCAGGGGCTTGGTACCTACCCAGCCTGGGCCAGGGCATCAGGGACTCTTCCTCCTCAGGACTTACCTCTCTCCCACTCCTGCCCTCAGTTCTGTTCAAGGAGGTCAACACTTGCAACCCATCGACCATCACGGGCACACTGTCCCGCCTGTCCCTGGATGAGGACGAGGAGCCCAAGTCCTGCCTCGTGGGTCCCGAGGGCAGCCTCAGCTTCTCACCACTGCCCGGGAATATCCTGGTGCCCATGGCGGCCTCACCAGGGCTGGGGGAGCCACCGCCCCCCCAGGAGGCCAACCCCGTGTACATGTGTGGGGAAGGCGGCCTGCGGCAGCTGGACCTCACATGGCTTCGGCCTGAGCCGGGCTCTGAGGGGGACTACATGGTGCTGCCCCGGCGGACTCTGAGCCTGCAGCCTGGCAGCGGGGGTGGGGCTGGCGAAGAGCCCCCGAGGGCCCGGCCCGAGGGCACCCCTCGGCGGGCTGCCAAGACGCTGGCGCACCCTGAAGGCTACCCCAGCTTCCTGTCTGTGGACCACTCGGGCCTGGGGCTGGGCCCTGCCTATGGGTCTCTACAGAACCCCTACGGAATGACCTTCCAGCCGCCCCCACCGACGCCCAGTGCCCGCCAAGTATCTGAGCCGGGGGAACGCAGCCGGACGATGCCCCGTACTGTGCCAGGCTCCACCATGAAGCTGGGCTCCCTGGAGGTGAGGGGCTGTAGGGCATGGGCTGGGGGCGGGAGGCCTGCCCCCGTATGCCCGAGGTGATGTCTGAGTTGCAGGTGGCAGCTGGGGGGGGGGTGGACAGCCAGCAGTGACGACCCCCCCCCCCAGCGGCCCCTTTGTATGAAGTGGCTGGGAGTGTGACCACCGTGCCTTTCTTCCTCGGTGTGTGTTCCTGCCAATACAAGGGAATCCTGGCTTCTCTGAACTCCTCTGATTGGCTGGGACTCTGTGCCCGCAGAGGACGCACTTTTTGTGCCTTCCCACGTGCTTCAGGGCCTCCTTTGGGGTGACTGGTTAGAATGGGTCTTCCTTGGAGGGGCCTGGTGTTGGATTGTGAGGGAAGCCACACCGGGGGCTGGGAGCCTGGGTCGCTGAATCTGGCACATCTGAATGTGGATCGGGGCCCTACTGATCAGCTGTGAGATCCTGAGTGTCCTCTCTCTCTGAGCCTCAGTTTCCTCGTTTGGGAAGAGGGCAGCCTCTTTGTGGAGTTGTTCCTAGGGTTAATTGAGTGGTATAAAACGTTTGTCTCTGTGTGGAGCAAGTAGAAAGTGCTAGATAACTGGAAATTGATGCTGTTAACATCCCTGAAATCCGCCTCGGGCACTGCCCCCTAGGCCTCTGGTCATTGACCCTCTCTTCCTGAGAAAACACGAGCTCCTTTGTCTCATTGCCTGTGTGTTTTCTGTGGATGTCCCACCTTCTCTCCAGCCTCCTCAGGGAATCACTGGGAACAAGCAGGTGACAAGCAGTAAGCCACTGTAGAACTCCAGAACATTCTAGAACTCTGGGAGGGATGATGGAAGCGCGGATAAGGACAGGGTCAGGAGTCACAGCTCAGACACCGTCAGCTTCTCATGTTTGGCCTCCGACACCTCTCCCCATCCTCCGCACAAAGGAAATTAAGTTAGCAGCTAGAAGTTTGCAAGTTTAGTTTCTCTCCCAAAAATGCTTCTTGAACATTTGGTGCCCGCTCCTGCTGCAGATGGCAGACACAGGAAGGCGTAACAAAGACAAAACGACAGCAGCACCAGGGAGGGGCGCGGTCGGCGTCACGGCAGGTTTTGTTCTGTGGACACCTGCCTGGGGTTGGGCCAGTCTGGGGCTCTGTGTGTGGGAGGTAGCAGTAAATGTGGCGGTGTCTTGAGGGGTCAAGGATACCGTCCAGAATTCTGGTGCAGGCAGCTGCAGTGGAGTGGAGGCGGAGGAGTGGGTTTGGGGCGGGGAATTCGGAGGTTTTTAATTGGGCACAGCTTTGTGTGTGGTGCCTGTGGGCATCAGGGGACAGGAAGGGATGTCCTGCTGCCTCCAGGAGAGATGTGGCCAGAACAGGGAGGGCACACACATGTGCATGGTCAAGGGCAGGAGAAGGTCTAGGGCCGAGCGTGGAGGCCTGGTGCTGGGGAAGCCGGGGATGGCAGGGAGAAGGGGCAGGCAGGGAGGTGGGAGGACCAGGAGGGAGTGGTGTCATGGAGGCCAGTGGTGATGACGTCTGCTGGGCCCGAGACTTAGGAGATCTTAGTTGGTGGTCTTATCCTCCTCCCTGATGTTTCCCCAGTGTAACCCAGCACCGTTGACTTTGCTCTCCTGAGTGCTCCTGGTGCCAACATGTTAAGACTCTAAGACCTCCTCCTTGAACAGCGCTGGACGCTGCATAGGTCAATGGGGCCTTGAATGCGCTCTTGGGCAAACGAGGGCCTGGAGGGGTGCAGAGGCCAGGGAGGCAAGACCTGGTTTGTCAGCAAGGCAGGGTCAAAGGAAGGACTAGAAACCCGAGTCCTTGTGTTTGCAGGGCAAGTGGAAGGTTCCAAGGAGAGGGGCGCCTGTGGCTGGCAGAGGATGGGGCAGCAGGATGGGGCGGAGGGGCAGAGTCCGGGGCACAGAGGAAGGAGGGTCTGCTCTGTGATCCCATGCGGGAATCCATGTCTCTGCGACACTTGGCTTAGGTCGCCTGTCTGCGGTGTGTCTGTGTGCGCGCGCTCCCTGTGAGGGTCTGCCTGCAGGCTCGGGCGTGTGCGGGCCTTGCAGGAGTGGCAGGAATGTGGGCCTGTGGTGGGGTCACGCCTCAGCTCCTCCTCCCCCAGGCCTCTGCCCTGGTCCTCCAACCCCGAGGGCTGCCCTTAAGGATTCCTGGCTCCTGGGCGCGGGCTGGCGGGGAGGTGCGAGGCAGATATTCGGTACCAGAGTTCCTGTCTTGAAAGCCCCCACATGTGCTAAAAAACTTTCTTCTCCTTCACTGTTTCCTTGGTGCTCCCTCCCAGCGAAAGAAGTTACGATATTCAGACCTGGACTTTGAGGTAAGTGGTGTGTGTGTGTGTGTGTGTGTGTGTGTGTGTGTTGGGGGGCATCTGTCTGTGGTGTCTGTTCCCGGAGGGTCCACTCCTGACGGGAGCCAAAGCGCCATTGCAGAGCCTGACCCAAGGACCCCGAGCCTGTGGCTTCCGTGGGGTCTTCACACCATGCCCCCAACCCGAGCCCCAGCCCAGAGCTGGGAAGTCGAGGGAGAGCCAGGCCTTGACCTAGGGGGCCAGCAGCAGGCAGAGATGTGGGGAGCCGGGGCAGGGGTGGGGGTGGCTCATGGTGCCGCCAGTGCGGCCCGCCTCCTCTGACCCCCTGTGGCTCCCAGAAGGTGATGCACACCCGGAAGCGGCACTCGGAACTCTACCACGAGCTCAACCAGAAATTCCACACTTTCGACCGCTACCATAGCCAGTCCACAGCCAAGGTGAGGGCTCCTCCCAAGCACTCCCTGTCCACAGCTCAGGGCCCAACCCGACAAGGGCCCCCCTGGGTCGGACCCTGCCCATGGCCCCCGTTGCAGAGGGAGAAGTGGTGGAATGTGTCCTTGGGTGGGACAACCGAACGGAGCGTGTCTAGCGTAAGTCCCCCGCCTGGGCTGGGTCAGGGTCAGGTGGGCTCTGAGGGGCTTCTTCCCTCCCAGCCCTCCTCCCCTTCCTGGGCAACCTCAGCCTACCTCACCAAGGGCCTACCCATGGCCTGAGTGACATTTCTGGGGCTGCCTGGGAAAGGCGGGCAATGCCAGGGGCTCCGGCAGGATCTTGAGGAGGGTGGGCTGAGAGCAGGCACAACCCCAGGGGCCTCTCGGAGCCCAGGGCTCAGGAACCCAGCTCTGGAGCCGGGCGGATCTGGGTTTGAACTCTGCTCAGGTGCCTGGGTGCTGGGTAACTTGGGGCTTCTCTGGCCCTCTCTGGGCCTCCTTAGCTTGTGCTGTACAGTGGGCGAGGGGGTATTGGCTTATCTCCACGGGTCCTTCCCACTGCCTCCCGCAGGAGAAGCCCAGCCCCGGGGAGCGTCCCGGCTTGTCCCAACAGCGGAGACACCAGAGCTGGGGCACCTTCAAGTCTATGACGTTGGGCTCGCTGCCCCCCAAGCCCCGAGAACGGCTGGGCCTGCACCGAGCAGCCGCCTGGGAGCCCACAGAGCCACCTGATGGTGACTTCCAGACAGAGGTGTGAGTGCCACACCGGACTGCCCACTGCATATAAATATATATATCTCTCTATTTTCACACTCCACTTTGGAACCACTCAGGAGCCAGCGCCCCCTCCCCTCTCCCGAGGGCTGGGCAGGGAGGCGCAGTGGACTCAGCCGGGCTGGGGGAGCCAGACACGGCATGGCCTGGGGGGGCCAGGGCCCTTCCCTGTTTCTCCGAGGCCCCCCATCTTCACCCCAGCTATCTGTCCCTGTCCCCGGGCTGGGGAGGGGGGAGGGAAACTTTGTCGGGAATAAACTTCACTCTGTGGATTTTGCTGCTGAACTCTTTGCTTCCCCCTGGGGGGGAAGGCCCAGCCCTGGAACCCCAACTTTGTTCCTCTGTCTCCTTGGTTCACCTCACTGGGTCTCATCAAATCGTATAATGGGGTCAGGCCCGCCCTGACTGGGAGGGGGCACCTGGGCTCTGACTCTATCTTTGCCCCTGACTCCCTGGGTGACCTTGGGCATATCCTGTCTCCCATCAGGGCCTGGGTGGGATAAGCAGATTGGGAATGTGGAATGGGGACCCCTGGCAGCTGGCCTTACCCCTTGGCTATGATGGTCATTGCCGCTATTCACTGGGACTCAGAGGCCAGACTGCCTGGGCTGGAGCCCAGGCAGAGCTTAGTGACCTTGGTTTATGTGAAATAGGGCTGATAATAGTACCTACCTCATAGGGTTGTTAGCAAGGACCTGGCATGGAAGACACTTCTAAAAGCTTAGCTGTTATCACTTGGCACTTGGTCTCATGCTGTGCTCTGTGCTACGAGCTTCGCACACACAACCCCTGATGCCTCAGAATAACCTGGAAGGTTTTAGGTCTGTGGATGGGAAAACGAGGCCAGAATCGGGAAGTGACTTGCTCAAGGCCACTATCAGAGTCGGAGCTGGGATTTCAAGCCCAGGCTTGGTGGACAGTGGAGCCACCCTCCTTCATCTTTATCAGCCTCCCCCGATAGGACAGGAAGCTAGAGCTCAGCTCCCTGGGACCTGACCTTCCTGGCTGCAGGGGAGCGGCTGGGCGCTGGGTGGCAGTGGAGCCTCGGGGTCCAGGGCTCAGGGTGGGTGTAGAGAGGAAGGGGCCAGGCTAGCTTGGGGCCAGAGGCTAGGGTGGGAAACTCATCCTGGGGTGTACTCCTCACACGGCCGAGTGGATGATGGCAGCCGGGAAGAGGGGGTGTAGGATCGGCACGTGGAAATGTCTTGCGGCGTGCGCAGTGGTGCTTCTGTGGTCAGGCGGCATCGGGAGCAGGGGCCACTGGTGTGGCTGCTGGCCTGGTCATTCAGTGGCACGGGCACCCCTGGGCCGCTCCCCAGGGACTCAGACAGTCTCGGGGGGTGGCTGACCCATCAGAGGGAGGGCCTAGGTGCTGGGGGAGCCTGGATGGGGAGAAGGGGGGAAGGACTCGCTGCTGCGGCAGGGGACACAGCTAAAAGCCCCCTGGAGGAGGGGCTGGCCACAAGGTCCAGGCTCCCCCAGTCTTTTCTGGATCCTGCCTGCTGTGGGCCTGGTCAGAGGAGCTGGAGCAGAGTCCTCAGACCTGTGCCCCTAGACCCTGGGCTTTTCCAGGCCCCCTGCATTCCTGTGAGCCTTCCAGGCCTCCCCAGCCCCCCTCGGGCAGCCCAGGCACGGACTGTGCACAGGGCTCCCTCAGGCACAACCTCATTTGAGCCTTCAAGGTAGGTACTGTGACTCCCCCATTTGACAGATGAGGAAATCAGGGCTCACAGAGGGGACATGACTTTCCCAAACTGCCACACCTTGTAAGTGACTGTACTGGGGCCTGTGGCTGTGAGCGACAGAATCTTGATCCTGGCCAGCCAGCCTGGGTAAAAGGGAACTTTGTTCACTCAGGAGTTGCAAGCTGCAGCGAGGACAGTGGTGGGCACGTGTGGCTGCCCGTAGATGATGGGACCCAGGGTCAGAGTGCCTCCAGATGTTCTGTCCCTTACAGCTGTGTCAGCTTCATTCTTTTAGGCAAGCTTCCTCACCTCTCCCCGCCCCGCCCCAGGCCTCCTTCCAGCTCCCATCACTGGCTTTGCCCCCAGAGAGGAAGAAACTTTCTCTTAAATTCCAATCAGAAACTCCCCAAGGAAGGGCTGTGATTGGCCCAGGCAGAGGTTGAGGTGCTATGATGGGCACGTTTGGCACAAACAAAGCCCCTGGCCCTGACCTTGTGCCAGTGGGTACCCCCCTCCCCGCCCAACACCACAGGTCAGGTTTCCTTTGAACTGTCACCTAGAGCCTTCTCAGTATCTTTTCTGTATTCCTGTCTCCTTTCTTCCCGCCCCTGGGCTCCGCTGGCCACCACTGGGACCTCTGGGGCTGAGCTACCATGTGCTTACTCCCTCCACCCCTTGTGGTTTCTTGCTGTGCATCTGATTTGAGGCAGCTTAGTATTCACCTTGTTGATTCTGCTCAAGCAGCAACCACAGCTGCAGCGGAGGCTCCTGAGGCGGGAGACTCACCACGTCTGTGGTCAGGGGCAGAGTTTTCCTGGGCTGAGGCTCTGCGCCTCTCTGCCCTGTAGTCCTCACACCCCCAGGCTGTGCCTTGCGGTGGGAGGTGTGACCTTGGACAGGCCCCATCAGCCTTGGGTTTCCTTATCTGTAGGCCTGATAGCCCTTCCATTATGGCTGATAGCAAACAACTTGTCATTTCTTTCCTGGACTGGAATTTCCCACCTCGTCGTCCTCCTTATTCTCTCTGCCTCCTGTCTCCAGGCCTTTATCCACCTGGCCTGGCCACTGCCCTGCCCAGAAGCCTCCTAAGTTTCCTAGAATTAGCCGAGAATGCAAGGGCCTTGGTGATGTGACCTTTGCCTACCTCTCCTGACCTGTCTCTCTCACCTCTGTGCGTAGGCACAGCCATTTCTTCTGCTTGGAACTCCCTCCTGCTCGCACGGGCAAACCCCTTCACCCTTCTAGCTCCAGCCCAAGTGGCCTGTCTATGAAGCCATCCCTGAACTCCCCATCTCAGCAGTCGGCACTCGCCCGGCTCCCTCAGCCCTGGCACACACTTTCACTGTCACACTGCTCGCAGAATTGGTGTCCTTCATGTCGACTTGGTTCAGGTTTGTGTGCTCAGTCGAGGGCCCCACACAGAGTAGGCATCAGTGGATCTTTACTGAGTGAACAGAGGGAATGCACAAACCAACATTGGTTTCCTTATCTGCAGAATGGGGATATCGATAATTCTTACCCAGCCTTCCTCACAGGTATTATTCACGGGGAGCATTTTGCAGGTGACATCAACCCCTGTCCCAGTTATTCCTTCCTAGGCCTTGATGGTATCTATACAAGGCACCAAGGGGGAGCCAGGGTGCTCTCCAGGGTGCTGAAAGGGACCTGCCCCCCACCCCCCGCCCCAAGAGATGAGCCAGCCCCAGAGGCTAACCCAAGCTCCGCTGCAGCTTCCCTTGCCTCCAGGCCATGGCAGGGTCATGGGTGAGCAGACCAGCCCTACCGTTGTAAGACCAGACCCTGGGAGAATGTCCAACAAAAAAATGAAAACTACATATGTAATTGTAAATTTCAAATTCTCTAGTAGCCATTTTTAAAAAGAGAAAGGTGAGATTTATTTATTTATTTATTTATTTATTTATTTATTTATTTATTTATTTATTTTTAAAGATTTTATTACCTATTTGTCTGAGCAAGAGAGGGGGCACAAGCAGGGGGAACGTCAGGCAGAAGGACAAGCAGGCTTCCCGCTGAGCAAGGAGCCCAATGTGGGACTCGATCCCAGGACCCTGAGATCACGACCTGAGCCAAAGGCAGATGCTTAACCAACTGAGTCACCCAGGCATCCTGAGATTTTTTAAAAAATAATATTTTTAGCCCAATATATCAAAAACATCATTTCAACACATGATCCGTAAATTACAAATGAGATACTTTATGTTCTTTTTCATACTAAGTCTTTGAAATCTAGTGTTTGTTTTACATGGACAGCACATCTCAATTCAGCATAGCGACATTCTGAGTGCTCAGTAACCACGTGAGGCTAGTGGCTACCATACTGGACAGCACAGCTCTAGACAGAATAAAGGCAGTGACCTTGGACAAGTCAGTTCAGTGTCATCTGTGGAAAGGAGGTGCAAGTACTACTTGCCTCACTGGGTCATGGTGAGGGTTCAAGAAGGTGACGCAGGGAAAATTCCCAGCACAGTGCCAGCACGAGGTAGGTCCTAAGTCAGTGTTCTTGGAATCTAGGTATTCAGGGGATACAGGTGACAGGGAGGGGGTGTCCCGAGGAGACCTTCCCCCCACCCCACAGTCTGTCTTCCTTCTACCCGCAGCCCCAGACCCTGGGAGAAGGGAGGCAGGTTAGGACTGGCACTTGAACAGACACATTAAAACTCAATAGGGTTTAATTCACTTCCATTAGGCACCAATTGAAAGGAAATTAGGTGACCAAGGAGGCCTGAGGGAGACCCTGGGTGCAGGATGTTGCCAACTTCTGCCTCTCTGGACTTATTTCCCTCGAGGCTTCTTGCCTACCCTGGCGGTTTATGGGGTCCCACAGTTGGGGCTTTTTAGGGCCATCCCTAGCACTCCCTATTATTCCTCCCTGTACTTCTCCAAGGCCACCAACCCCGGGAAGACCCCTACCCTCTCAGGCCCTCAACATACATCCTAAGTGTCCAGGGCAGAGGAACCTCCCATAAGGGCTTTGGCATGCAGGCTAGTAGGAAGTCAAGAAGGGTGTTGAGCCGAGGACTGACGTGATCAGATTTATATATTAACAGGATTGCTCTGAGTGAATGGGAAGTGGGGTGGGTAATTAGTGAAGAGTAAGGATGGATGCAGAGACCAGTGAGGAGACCATCCATGAAGGAAAATTTCAGTGGAGGGGGCATGGAATTGATATGTATGTAGTGAGTGGGGTTGTCAGCCCCTGATATGGATGGTATGGGAAGGAGCCTAGGATGACTCATGGGCTTCTATCTTGTGCACCTCGATGGACAACTGTGACATTAGATTTGGAACACCAGAAGAGAACCAGCTTTGGGGGAGACACCTTATGACTTTGACCTTGAGTGTGTTAACCTGGAAATACCTTGTAGATGGTCAAAGGGGAATTTCAAGTAGGAAGTAGATGGTTAGACACACAGGAGTGGAACACAAAGAGCTGGACTAGGGTCATGGGTATGGTAGGAGGCCATATCGGACTGGGCCGTAGAGTAAGCAGGAGGTGAAGAAATGAAGACCGTATAGACAACTCTTGAACTGGGGCTGTGAAAAGGGAGAGGAACCTCAGG